TTCTATTCTATTCTATCCTGGTTCAAAAGGACAACAAAGTACAAACAGGCCACCTGAGATGACAAAACAATACTATCAGATGAGAGCTGGCTTTGTTTTGAAGAAGATGGCTCACCTGGGGGATAGTGTCACTGAGGTTATAGTGTTTACGCAGGAAGCACAGGAGTTTTTCGGATGGCCGGTCCACTGCCAGCTGATAGGGCTCCACTCGTTCTCGCTGAAGGAATAAAAAGAGAAAGTGTTTCTCTGCAATTTACTTCTCAGGAGGGAAACAGGATTGAGAGACAGATTTTATTACTTTATATTTCACCATTGGACCAGTTGATATCTGACCTGCAAAGGTTGGGGGGAGGGCAATTTAGCCTTAGTTTTGCAGGTTGTTCTCTTCCCAGACCAAAGGCAGCTTAGTTAAAGGGAAACCAGGCAATTTTTTTACTAGCTGACAATTTCAGCTCAGAAAGAAATAAGCGGGCAATGGCTCTAAGATATCTGAGGTTCTTATTCCCTTCAGCTTTGACAGCTTGAAGTTTTTATTTATTAAAATGTACCCTGTCCAGCTGCAAGAAACCCTTTATTAGTTAACCTTCCTAAAATCAACTTCCCCAAAATAAAGTAAAAAGTATATTATAGTAGCCATTATTTACAGAATAGTGAAAATGCATCTTGCCTGAAAGAGCTATCCTGTGAAGCAATCTTTCATTCAAAACAGAGTCTCTGGGCTGCCCAAAAGCTTTTGTCAATCCCACGTACTTCAACCAGGCTAGCTGAAGGATTCAGTTCCTATTAGTCTTCCCCAACTTTGGGCTTCCAAATACACTGGAATTACAACTTCCAAAATTCCCAGACAGCGTAGGAATTATGGAGTTTGTACTTCCTACAGATCTGTAGGACAGTAAGCTGAGGAACACGCTACTGGAATGCCATCAACTCTTGTTCAATAGAGCTTTAGAATTTCAGAAATCCTTAAGATTCATTCTTGGATTATGACAGCTCTATCCATGCTTCTATTTAACCATTCACTACAGGATCAGAAAAGAAAATTCCTGCAGGTTTCATTTGCTATAGAGAGGTTTTGTCTGTTCTATGAAGCAAGTAGTAATGAGGAAGCACAGTGGCTTAATCCAAGACAAGGACATAGGGATGGTGGCCTTTTCTTGGATTACACATCTCAGAAGAAGAGTGTTGCACCTGTAACATGTAATGGAAGAGCTCCTTGCCATAGCCATGCCGTTGGAGAGATTCATGAATGTAGAAGTCCAGGACACACAGCGGTTCCACTTCATTGTGAGCCCCTTGACGGTCCTACAAAAAAGGACAATCTGTGGACAAAACTGTGTGAGAAGAGTAAGAGGCATCAATGTTAAAAGAGCTCAGGTCTCTCTGAGCCACACATTCTGCTGTATGCTAACTTTTCCTGCACTTTCCAAAATAACCGCCACTTTGAATCCCAGTCTTCAGACCTTCTGCTCAAATCAGGAATTTACATGCTGGATAGCAAGGAGTGCGTTAGAGTGTTAGGCCTGGTGAGTTGCAATTTTATTCACCACGTGTAATACCGTTGTATTACCTCTATCTCAAATGCCGCTTTTTACTCAAACTTCTGTAGCTTTTTGTGCCCTGACATATTAATCACCCCATTCTCCAAATCAACTTTCCTTTCAACCTGATATTTTCCAGATATGTTCAGACTGAAACTCTTACCCCCAATAAGCATGACCGCACAAGCTAAGAAGGATGAAATTTGAAAGTTGAACCAGGCTGATCCCTATCAATATTTTAAGCCTTTTTCTCTTGATACATAGATAGACAGATATGGATATATAGATATAATTTTATTAAGAATTTTGATTATAATAGTAAAATCTAATACAAACCTAACTTAAAGAAAAAAGAATAGAAAGGAGTAAAAAGTCCAAGAAAGAAAAGACAAGAAAAAGTAAGAATAAAGAGAAAAAAATATATGAAGAAGTGACTTTCAACCTTCATCACAAGTATAAACAAATTTAGTGACTCTTCACCCCCTCTGACATTACAAACATTTATCTCTTCATCCCATATCCCATCTCTTATCTATAAACAAATCCATAAAGCATAATCTTTTCAGTCCTGGCGTCAGCAGAAAGTCCATAGTTGCCAGAAGTAACAGCATCTCTTGGTTTAACCTTGATCAAATAAACCAACTTCTTATTCTTTCCTTTTAATGGTTTTAATCTTTAGTTCATTCAAATATCATCATAGGATTGGATTTCTCTTAATTTCTTCTTTGTCCCATCACACGGAGTTCTTCAAGGCTTTTAACAAACCTCTTTTGTAAATCTAATAGGAAAAAATTATCCAGGTCAATCTCTTGGTTTGTCATTTGTATTTCCCTTTCAAATTTTAAAACTTCAGCCAGTTTCTTTTGCAGATCCAGTGAAACATCCTTTTCTAAGTCGTTCTCTTGGCCTGTCAGTTGTAAATCCACTTTCAATACCATCTCTATCTTGTCAGATACAATTTGTTCTACATCTGTCATTTCTTCAATAATATCTTTTGGACATAGTCTATCCATAGAAGCAGACATCATTACTGACATTGTTGATACTGTGGCTACTACTTTCTGATTCCATTCTTCAAAAGTCTCCTTCAGTACTTTTATTGTTATTAACGTTTTGCAGCATTTTACAGGCTTGTAAATCTTTCCTATATGTAAAAACTGTAGTCCCCTCTAATGTCCAGTTTTTGACATCATGAAATTGCTTATCTTTGTTTTACCTTGTAAAAACCAAAACAGGATCTATTTCCCAGAGAAGCTGTTTGTTCTTTATAATTACTTGAAAATTTTATTGTAAAAGTTTCAATATTCCAATGTTATTTGGACCCTTAGTCCTTAAACTTATTTAGCTTTTTGCTGTTTATTTCAGATTCTTTAAATTCTTAAGCTTATGATTAAAATTTTTTTTTGTTCAGGATTGAAGGCAGACTCACCCGGCATTTTATTGTAAAAGTTTCAATATTCCAATGTTATTTGGACCCTTAGTCCTTAAACTTATTTAGCTTTTTGCTGTTTATTTCAGATTAGTTAAATTCTTAAGCTTATGATTAAAATTTTTTTTTGTTCAGGATTGAAGGCAGACTCACCCGGCATTTTGAAACTTGTCATTCTGAAGGTCTCTAATAGCTTAGAAGTAGTTAATGAGCAATTTCTGAAAG